CCCCCCCCCCCCCCCCCCCCCCCCCCCCCCCCCCCCCCCCCCCCCCCCCCCCCCCCCCCCCCCCCCCCCCCCCCCCCCCCCCCAAATAGGGTTTTCCTTAAAGTTTAAGAGTGTTTGTTTTCTTTGGGTTCTTTCAGTTGTGTTGTGTTATTTTATTTCAGCATAGTTTCGATTCCCAGGACTATTAGGGACTTGCTGGTCGAGTTCTTTGCATTTTAGACTCATTTCCCTTTTCAATATCTGGGCCACTGGACCATTGGATGGGATCAGTGATTTCCACATGCTCCAGATGGCTGAGTTCGATCACAAGAACAGCCTGCTCTACTGGCTCATAGCAAAAGGGGGTAAGGAAAGTTAAGACATGACCAACTACTTGGAGATCTTTGGAGGTGCTGACACCATAGAGGAGTGCCAACCACTCAGCGACCGTGTTTTCAAGTGTCTCAAGAAAGTACCCCTTACTTCCCCTTTTTTTATTATTTAAATAAAAATTATTTTCGGATTCATTTTTTTATTAATAGATTGAAGCATCAGCCACCAGTCCAACCGACATTGGTCTGCCCATCCTCGAAAACCTCCCGGAATGCCAGGAACAAACCCCCACATGGGGTTGGGCAGTTGAATGTGTCTGTAACTCATCTCGAAAACCTTCCAACATGTCATGTCAAGTGATATGGGACTGTTCCCATCACTATGGGTCTCCATCCTCCTCCTGGCTCGTCATCCATTCCAAGAGGCCCCTCTTGAGGAAGCTCCCCAGATTCAGACGCGGGATTGCGAGTTTTATATCATCATACCAGATGGAGCTAAACCAAAAATAATGCTTGGCTCAATCTGCCGCCAATCTGGAGTGCAAAAGCAGCTATTTTTGGAGCCTCCTAAAACAGAGTAATGACCAGAGTGTCCCTGCAATAAAATCACGCCTCATGTGGTTGGTGGAGCATGAGGCCTTGGTGGTTTCTTGGAGTGGTGTTTGCTGGGTATTCTCTTGACAGGATGAGACTTTTGACTGGGGTCCTTGGATGGGGCTCTTGGTTTCTTTGGTATGAGGGCTGGGTCTTGAAAATGGAAGTGTTTTTCCATGGCTTTATTTAGGCGACAAAACAACCAATAGTGCATCAACTGGGAATCAAAACCAAGACTATCACATGGCAGGCGACAATTATGCCACTAAACCATTGCTGCATGATTTTTGTTACAGAATGAGCTCCAACATCGGTGGTCCCGTTTTTCTTCTATCTCGTACTCTCATGGTGGCACCCTCAGTATTTCCTATGTTTTCTGGTGGCACTCTTTCTCGAAGTTTCTCTGTACTTTATTCTTTAATTCTCCACCGAATTTCAAATCCAAAAGTATAAAAGGAGAACATTGCAGTCTAAAATCCAACTTCAATTCCGTAACAATTTTATTACTTGTACACCTAGAAAATTCTGATTTAAGGGGAGGCTCCAAACTAGCAGCTTTTTGCACTCCACAGTGGTGGCAGATTGAACCAAGCTAGTATTTTCGGCTAAGCTCCGTCATGGTATGATGATATAAAACTCGCAATCCCGCATCTGAATCTGAAATAAAATTTTATTTAAATAAGAAGGAGGAAGGGGGAGGAAGGGGCCCTGCAGGCGGCCTCATTCCTTGAGATGAGTGAAGGAAAGCTGGCACCGCAGTTCAAGCACTATGATGAGGGGAAACGTATTGAGGAATGGAGATGGAAGGGGGATGAGGAAGGAAAGGAGGTTGGAAAGACAGCCAAGCGAGTTTGACACCATCCACGTAGACTGTGGCAAAGCAGTTCCCTTGACTGCAGCCAACAGGTCCACATCGTGCACACTTGGGCTTGTTGTGTTCAGCACTAGCGACTCCAGATCCGGAACCGCGCTTCCCAAGGGCAGTGACAATGGTGTTGGCGAGCTTGGCTTGACGGATGTCATAGGGGAGTGTATTTTAAAAAAATGATGGTTGGTGGTCAACTACCACGACCATTCCATGTTTGGCATTTGCCAGCAGTTAATAAAAAGTGATAAAAAACATAAAAAATAAAGCGAGCCGGCCAGGGGTCGAACCTGGAATCTCTTGATTCGTAGTCAAGCGCGGTAACCATTTTGCCACAGGCCCATAAATTCATATCCAAAAATGTTTTATATAATCGTGCGAATTGTAAT